ATTGTCGACTGATGTGGCGTTTCGTTGCCGAAAACAGACAGTATCTCAGCAAGGCATTCTTGTTGCGATAATTGTCTCGGAAAGTTGTAATAAATTATGGCGCGAAAATGTTCTCGGTTCAGTTCCATTTTTCTAATGACTTGGTGACACTTAAAAATTCACTGTAGTGAGAACACTGCACGTATTGTTGTGAAACTTTGAATTTAAGTTTACTAAAAAGTCAGGTTAAGATTCAGTACTGACGTTCCATCCGCGCGGCCTACTATGTTTCTATATGCAAAACTTAAAAGACATCCCTCGTAATAGCCAGTCTATACCTTTTTTAAACACAAAAACCAATATAGTGAAAGCAGAGTAAGGGATGTGCGTGTACATAATTATAGGCAAGCCAAATAAATCTACGTCTGTCATGTATCCCTCTGCCCAAGTGTGCGCTTATATTTGATTGATATAGGCATAAAACTACCCAGACAACATAGAATTAGTGTTTGTAGCTTTATTTTTTGGATGCTCCTTTTCGGTAAAAACTGGAAATATTTATATTTTAAAAAATCGTGGAAAATGACGTTTTTGGTATTTCGTTAAATATAAGCTTTGCGCGTTTTTGAAAATTGCTCTAGTATCCCTCAATGTTTCTATTTCCATTCCTTTTTGAGCGTATTACGATTTTTGAATGTAACCAAATCTTGTTTTGAGGGGCGGTCAGTCTACTTGACTCCATCTTTAATACCCAAGATTCTGACAAGTGGTAAGTGCGATAAGTTGAACCAAACCTCGTTGCCTTACCAAGTGTAGTATGCTCTTTACATTAAAATCCACTGTTTACCGATACTACTCTCCCTAGGTATCATTTAGCGATAAAATATACACATCGGATGAAATTTCTGGGTCTTCAGTTCGGGTCCCGCATAAAAACCTATTCGCTAGTAGCGTCGGTGCAGATAACTTCTGTTGGTTTTGCTATCGTGTTCCAATGCTGTTCCAATGGTTCCATAATCGTCACATCCGAATTCGCTCATTGAAATGTCGATGGGAGACCGCGAGATTTTTTTTTCGATTCAACTACATTGAAATTTCCTCGACTGACATGCAGGCCGCTCTCTCGATCGTCTAGGGTGACGTAACGTCCGGCAATTTGTACAGTGTGTCGGAGCGATTCGAATGTATTGTTTGCGGATGGGATGCTTCAATGGCGACATTCGCAATTTAGTCCAAACTAGATAAAACAAAGGTGAATAAAAGTTTAGCAGATACATAATGGCAGATACAGCCAGCGTTGTTTTTATAAACAATGGAAATAGCACAAAATTCAGTATTTTCCTTGTATAATTTTCAAATTAAATTTTATAAATAATCGGTAAACTGGAGGTTTTCGATCATACGAAGGTCTTCAATTGTGTTTTTTAAAAATTAAAGCCGATAAACAATTAGGCTAAATATGGTTCTTTTTAGCAATATTGAATAAATGTTTATAATTATTGCAATAACAATTGTAAATAGCTAAACAATTTCGAGAATGAGGGCATCATTGGTGTTAATAAGTGCCGGATCCGTTTAATAGTTTATGTGGAAAGGTAATTTGTTTATTCCAGAGACGAATGATATTAACGGCGGTGTTGTCACTGACACGCTACAGGAAAATATTTATGTATTTTAGGAATATTGGAGTATTAGGAGTCCGTATCACTTTAGCGTTCTACGATGCTTTTGTAAATGATGATTTACCTGTTTTTATATCTACATCTCTGTTTAGTATTTATAGCTTCTGCTCAACTCTTCTTTTATATATAATGATAGCTGTATAAATATTTTTCTGAATTTTTTGAACCTCTAATGTACCACCCATTTCATCTAACCTTTAATTGGTGTTATTCAGTCTATGATGGCTTTTTTTGACAAGCTCCCCTCCGTGTTGATATAGTGTTTACACTTGCCACTTTGGTTAACAGTCACATTTAAATCCTTAACGACACTTTCATCATTTACTTAGGATTGAAAATAAGCATTAAGATAATTAATATATGCTGACATGGACCTAACTCAAAAATACAATTCCATCTAATGAGCTTTTGTTCTTGAACTTTCAAAGATGAAATGGAAAAGTTCAAAAGTATCAAGCATAGAATGCTTACAAGTTGTTGCGGAAAGCTTGATTTGTTTATTAGTGTGGCGTATTATTTAGTTTGAATGAAGAAATAATTCATAGTCAAGTTGAATGAACAAAGGCATATCGCATTGCGCGTGTGACCTGAACAGTTGGACAATATTGATTTCCAGATTCAGATTGCAACTATATACGCCTATTGTCATGATCGGCACGGGTATTACGTATCTCGAAAAGTGACATTCTGTCGATTTTTTTTTGTCATTGTATTGGTTTTTAGTGACACTGTAGGTTTTTCTACATGATGTTAACTTAGCACTAGCTGAAGGACACGTTGTGAACTCGTTTTGAAGTTGTACGTGTTGTCTAAACGTCATGAGGCTTCAGTTATCAATTTTTGGCTCTGATGTGATGTAAAATCTGCTTCAGAGATGGCATGGCTGGAGGTAACGGCAATGCAAAGGTGCATAGTGAGGATTTGTGTGCTAATAATACGTGTTGGTGACAATTCCATTGGATTCTCGCCTCAAATACACTTACTTGAGATTCAAAGCTAGAAATTAGTGGGGCATCCACTTTTTCTTATCCATTCTGAAAATTATATATGCAAATTAGCTGAATTTAATAAATGAGAGATATAAGAATTATATTTACTGTACACTGTCGAATTACAAGTCATATACAGTACCGAGCCAATGTAGAGAAACAAACCATATTACAAATAAAAATCCAGAAAGATTTACTCTAACCCACAACTGTACACTAAATTTTTTTATGTATGGCTACCTCAAGATAATGAAATGCTTATCTCTGTATACATTCTTTTTTTATTGAATATAATATGGTCGGTTTTTTGTTCAACGAGCAAAAGTAGAGAAACATTTTGTAAATATTTAGTTTATATTTAGTCGTTGATTAGAATAGGTGTTATTTTTGAATGTATTTGGTAAAATGTAGTTCAAAAACATGGCCAGAGGAATAACATTGAATTTGCCAATAAAAGAATTGATTATTTTAAAATATCGATCAGGCATTAAACAAGCAACCATAGCCAAACAGCTGAATTTAAGCCGATCGGTAATTTGCAAAACTATTAAGCTGTTCCGCCTCAGAAAATAGTTGGTAAGCCCTCCTAAGACTGGTAGACCGCGAAAAACCACACCATAAAAGCTCAACTTGAAGAAGTAAATATTGGTGTCCACACTGTTCGAAGACGTTTAAGGGGAGTGATTTGCCAGCATGGAGACCATCTCAAAAACCCTTTATATCCAAGAAAAATCGGCCCGTCTTCAATTTGCTTACGATCATTTGAACTGGTCAGAAACAAGGTGGAATTCTGTATTATTTTCTGATGAAAGTAAAGTTAATTTATTTTCATCTGATGGCATTTTATGGGTAAGACGTCCTAAAAACAAGCGATTTGATCCTAAGTTCACTTTGGGTACAATCAAACACGGAGGAGGGAAGGTTCAAGTATGGGGTTGCTTCTGATACCATGCTACCTTACGCACAAGAAAACATGCTTCTACGCTAGCGGTTCCAGCACCAAAACGACCCCAAGCACACAGCGAAAATAATAAAAACATTTTCTGCAGATCACAATATTAATGTCATTAAGGGGCCAGCTCAGTGTCCAGACCTCAACCCCATAGAGAACCTATGGGATTTAGTTGATAAAAAAATTCGGACTGAACATCCAGAAAAGTTCAAAAATAATGCAGAACTATTTTAAACATACGAAGTCGCCTGGAATTCTATTCCAAAAGAAACAACAGATAGCCTAATTGGTTCTATGAGAAAAAGATGTCTAGCAGTTATCAAAAAGAAAGGTTATGCAACCAAGTATTAGCTACTTTGTATACGACAATTGCTTTGTATATTATGTTTCTCTATTTTTGCTCGCTGTATTTTCTAATAATAATTGTTAGCATAGTTTTATTAAAGCAGAAATTTTATTTTCATGTTCGCTTTGAATAACATGTTACATTAAGTTATAATAAAACATAAGTGTTTAGTTCACTTTAATAGTTTAATAAAATCTTTAAAAAAATAAAATGTTTCTCCATTTTTGCTCGGTACTGTATATGCTACCAGTCATTACACACAAGCGGGCGCGGTGATTTCCTGTAATTCTCCTCAAAGTTCTTAAAAACACAAAAAATCGTAAATCGTAACTCTGAACATAACCTGTCTTCAGAAAGGGCAACATATAAATAACCCGTCGGGCGCAACTAATAGATATACTTCATTGCGATGCGATCTTAATATTCAACATTCAACCAACTTTCTTCTCATTATATAGAAGCTACAGACTACTCGGCTTCACAAAACATATGCAACCAACAATGCATGTAGTTGTCATTCCTCCATTGATGGACGCTCACAATGAACCTAGTGAGCAATCGTTGAGTGAGCCTAAAAACTACCTAGTCTGCAAGATGACAGATTTTTTTTGGTTTATGGGTTATTACATATTACCCGTGCGGTTAATTTTTTTTCTTCGAGCGATCGAGTACGAGCGATTGTTCGTCCGGCATGCAAAGCTAACGTTTTCCGAAGTCCGATCATAAACTACTTTGCCGCTGTACAGCGATAAGGTAGAAGAAACACAATTCGTATTAATTTTACACGTACAATTTGAGCGTGAACTACCCGTTTTGGTAACTCCTGGTATTTATAATAATGGTGCAATCATGCCACTTTCGCAAAGCCAATTTTTAAGCCCAAAAAATAAACGCATACATTAACGAAATTAATTTTTTGAAAAAATAACTATTGTTTCGGTACTTTTTGACAATATGGGCAATCGAAATCTAGCACGTATTGTACATGATACGTAATTAACGACCCGAAAAGTCTTGGAGTATACATTTTTTGATACTTCATCAAGTTTTAGATTATTGTCGACAAGAATTGTATGTTAGAGACTCTTTTTCTTCTTTATCGGAATGAAACGGATCGACTTCATATACTACAACCTCCATTCTACAGTACTGATGACAACGAGGTTCCCTGATATGATAATATTTTAATAATAATGCTGGGTTGTTGCATGTGTTATTAGGGAGTTTATATGAATGTTAATTTATTCCGTTTAATAACAAAATACAAACAAGTACGAATTTTATTCATGTCTCAGGTCAAAATTCACATTATGTAACTCGCCTTACTGATAACGTTCCATTTGCAAACAAAATTATCTTTGCATTACAAGAAAAACAATCTAGAGTAAATTCATACTGATATAAATGCTAGCTAAACAAGCAGTAGGTTCAGTAACAAATGTTATCGAATCTGCTATGGAGTCAAGTAAAATTGAAGTTGAGTTTAAATAACAATATAGATTCCAAAATAAAATTTTCATTCTGGTAATCAAAATTAGGGAGCCAAGTGGAATAAAATCAACCATCCAGCAGACAACAATCAAATGGGCTAAAAATCTAAACAAACCGCTTTGTAACTCAGAACTATGTCGATCTCCAAGTCTAGTAGGATCGGATTTTCAGTATCAAAAACTAAAATCAGATCTTTTTTGCAAATATTACAAAATACGACAAACCCAAACAAGGTTTCTGAAAAAAGTGAGTATATAAATATAGAGAATTCCCGATTTAACAATGTATGATCTAAAAATTTTCGTCGCCATAACGTTGCATTGAGTTAGAGCTCTAATAATCAGCCCTGTCAAAAAAAGTCCAGTAAAATTTGTCATAATGGTTATATTCTTTATACGACATAATTATGTAAAATTTTATTAACGACATTACATAAGGTACTTGTTATGTACGTAGTCATGCCATAAGTTCTGTCCCTCGTTTTCAAACAAGTGTAGACCTGTTAATACTTGTCCGATTGTTTACATTGTGGTGTCAGTTGATTAAGCGCTTTTCGGGTAATTACATATACCTCAGTTTGTATTGATCTCTCGAAGCATAACGATGGAGTGGGGCAAGGCAGAGAACCGTATTGCAGTGATAGCTTTACATAAGTGTAATCACAGTGCTAGTCAGATTTTTGAACTCTTACGCGGCCTTCAAATATCGCGTAAATTTGTGTCTAGGACCATTCAGCGGTACAATGAGACGTCCTCTGTTGATGACAGGCCAAGAAGCGGAAGACCTCGTCAAGTAAGGACTCCAGCAGCCATCAAAGCCGTAAAAGCCAGGATTCAAAGGAATCCACTCCGGAAGCAGAAGATCCTATCCAGGGAAATGAAGATTCCTGTCCGGACGATGTCGCGCATCATTAAACAAGACCTAGGGCTAGGGGCTTACCGGAGACGTACGGGCCAGCGACTTACGGCCACCTTGCGACACATCAGGGCGACAAGATCCAAGAAGCTCTTGGAGAGGTACGCAGCTGGGGGATTCCGAAAGATTTTGTTCACGGATGAGAAAATCTTCACCATAGAAGAAAAATTCAACCGACAAAATGACAAAGTGTATGCAAGGAGTTCACAGGAAGCTTCGGAGATCATTCCGAGAGTTGAGAGAGGCCACCACCCTGCGTCAGTCATGGTTTGGTGGGGGGTGTCCTACGAAGGGGTCACTTAGCTCCATTTCTGTAAACAGGGCGTGAAAACAAAAGCGGCAAACTATCAGAGCGACATACTGGATCCTATCGTCAAGCCTTTAAGTGGTACATTGTTTGCCAACCAACACTGGGTCTACCAGCAGGATTCCGCCCCCGCTCACAAGGCTAAGAGTACGCAGCGCTGGCTGGAAAGCAATGTGCCAGAGTTCATTGCTGCGGAAGATTGGCCCTCAGGGAGTCCGGACCTCAATCCTTTAGACTACAAGTTGTGGGACCTGCTAGAGCAGTTGGCCTGCTCCAAAGCCCACCGTAATATCGAGTCCCTGAAAGCGGATTTGATCCGATCAGCGGCAGCTATTCCTTTGGAAGCTGTGCGTGCAGTGATAGATGAGTAGCCCGCGAGCTTGAAGCAGTGTGTGAAGGCCAAGGAGGGACATTTTGAATAAAACTGTTTGATTATGAATTCTAAAAATGTTGTCGAATAAATAATATCTTTCATATAAATATATCTTATCTTGTTTCATTTTTATCATGAGATTATCATGGGACAGAACTTATGGCACGACTATGTATTTATTTGTCTTTCGATTCGCAATAAATACTTTTATCTTTTGGGGTGTTTAGAGACGCAAAAATATGTTACCCAGAAAAATATTTCAATATCCTGACAAATCATAAACCTATGGTAACAAAAAATGAATGGTATTTTTGGGACATTTTTTAAAGTCTTGAATTTAGAGGATTTTTACATTTGGACAGGGGAAACTGAGCTAAACGACCTGGCAACCCTGTAGGATTCGGTTTCTGGGAATCACACACATGACTCACAGTGTTCTCGGTATTGGTTGATTGAACATTCAAGTTAAAAACAAAACGTTATTGTTCCTTCTGTAAAAAATAATTTGTGGAGCAATTTTTTAAAATCGAGTTTAGGTGGGAGATGTAAGTTATGCAATTGTGAGATTTTTCACCTTTTTTTTAGTGAACGTTCCGTATCGAAAGGTTTCGATACTCGTGGTATGGGTATTTTTATTTCGATATTTTAGAATTTAGATACTTCCTAAAACGATACGGATCGATACAATGTGCCGATACTTTTCGTGGATCGGAACATCTCTATACAGAAGGCGGATCGCATGTTCCCCTGTAGCCCCTCCAAGCCCGGCACCTCCAGTGTTGCCAGATCTAACGCTACGTTGCCAGTCTCATCACTTAATTTATAGACCTCGTACATGCGGCACTGACCACGCTTATCGGTTACCGTCTTACGCCCTATACCGATCTATCGGCGGTGTACGTTCTGTACCTAAAGGTTTCGATACTTGTGATATCGATATTTTAGATTATTGATACTTCCTAAAACGTTACGAACCGATACATGGTACCGATACTGTTCGTGGATCGGAACATCCCTATACAGAAGGCGGATCGAATGTTCCTTTGTCACTGCTCCAAGCCCAGCGTCTCCAGTGTTGCCAGATCGAACGCTACGTTGCCAGTCTCATCACTTAATTTGCAGACACCGTACATGCGGCACCGGCCGCGCTTGTCGGTTACCGCTTTACGCCCTTTACCGATCTATCGGCAGTGTACGTTCTGTATATAACAGTCCGATACTTGTGATATCGATCTTTTGGTTTATTAATACTTCCTAAAACGATACGAATCGATACATGGTACCGATACTTTTCGTGGATCGGAACATCTCTATACAGAAGGCGGATCGCATGTTCCCCTGTAGCCCTTCCAGTGTTGCCAGATCGAACGCTACGTTGCCAGTCTCATCACTTAATCTACAGACCTCGTACATGCGGCACCGGCCACCACGCTTGTCGGTTACCGCTTTACGTTCTGTATCGAAAGGTTTCGTGGATCGGAACTTCCGTATACTGAAGGCGGATCTAAAATTCCCCTGTAACCCCGGCGGATCGAATGTTCCTCTGTCACTGCTCCAAGCCCGGCGTCTCCAGTGTTGCCAGATCGAAAGCTTCGTTGCCAGTCTTATCACTTAATTTACAGACCTCGTACATGCGGCACAGACCACGCTTGTCTGTTACCGCTTTACGCCCTTTACCGATCAATCGGTTACCAGTTACAAGTAGCATTCATATTTTAGTGTAACAGCATATCCCATCTCTATTAGGTATAATACATACGGTGAGGGGCATTCTCCTTCTTCGGTGCGAAGGAGGACAGCATGGGCATGCGGCGGTAGGCCTTATGGCCGTAGGCAACCACCTCCAGCAGTTGGACCTTCAGGATGCCCGTCCGGCCCGTTCTGGCAGAGACAAAACGACCGCAACTCACGTCGTCACACGTCAGCACCGCTCTAACGCAGCAGCCCTGTCACTCCTCACGCGCTTCGGCCGTTGCGTCGTCAGCACTGTCCGGGTGTTCGGTGGAGGCAGATGGGATAAAGCAGCCCCCGTCCGACGGCCTCCGGCAGCCACGCCGACTGTACGCACGGATCGATTCCGGGCGATGTTGCCGAATCGACACTCTCTTCCGTTTTTAACCCCAGATCGCAAACGAGCGGCTTTTGCGGTCAATCTTATTTTTAACGAAAACGTTAGCTTTCGGAATAAAACAGCACAAATTGCCAGTATATAGTTCGCGAACGAACTAGTTCAATCGAACGATTTTTATGATTGAACTAAGTGAACTAGTTCATCGTTGCTTGAACAACTCGTTTACTATGAACGACTGATATTACAGGATCCAGCGGGGGTAGTAAGCATCTGGAAAAGTGATTATATCGGTTGTTTTATATTATATGAGTTTTTTGTGACATAATGTAGGTTTTTCTACAAGATAAACTTTGAACTTAACCTCCCTTCAAAAAGACAACATAAATAACTCGTCTGGTGCAGCTAATAGATATACTGGGTGCGCCATCTATTACTTTTTTTACCTATACGTTTATGTGTTACCATGTGAGTCAAAAGTCATGTGGTATGCATAAATGAACTGTCAACGGTATGCCATTTTGGTTATCAAAACTTATTATGAAAACGGTCGAAATATAAAAAATACTTTTCGTAAGCTTCGCACTAGTTTTGGCCGACATGGACGCCCTACAGAGCCTGGAATTCGTTGGATTGTTAATCGTTTTGAGGAAACAGGTTCAGCTGAAGGTCGTAGACCATACCAACATGCTCGGATTTTACACAGTGATTTTCACCTCCATCCATACAAAATCCAACTAACACAAGAGTTGACGCCGGCAGACCATCAACAGCGGCGTGTTCTTGTTAATTGGATGCTGGAAAGAGAAGACGGGTTTTCGGCCAAAGTGTTCTTTTCTGATGAGGCTCATTTTCACCTCAATGGGTACGTAAATAAGCAAAATTGCACATTCTGGGGGGCTGAAAATCCACACCAATATCATGCACAACCTCTCCATCACGAAAAAGTGACTGTTTGATGCGGACTATGGGCTGGTGGCATCGTTGGACCATTCTTCGTTGAAGATGCCGTAGAAAAGGTAATTACCGTCAACGGGAAATGTTATCGCGGCATGTTAACAGACTTTTTGTGGCCACAATTGGATCGTATTGGTGACGACAATCTTTGGTTTCATCAAGACGGAGCAACGGCTCACACATCTCGCCAAACAATCGCCTTATTGCACACGAAATTTCAAGACCGCATAATTTCACGAAATTCAGATGTCACTTGGCCCCCGAGATCGTGCGATTTAACACCTCTTGACTATTTTCTTTGGGGATTCTTGAAAGAAAACGTACTTGAATGGTCCCCGGACAATTCAAGACCTAAAGCGCAATATTCGGACTGAAATTGCGGCCATAGACCCGATTATTCTGGGAAAAGTCATTGAACATTTTGATGTTAGGATGTTGGCCTGTAAACGAAGCCGCGGTGGTCACATGACTGATGTTATTTTTCATACATAAATGGCATAAACCAACTTTCATTTATCAATAAATAAATTCGATTTCACCTTGTAAAATGCGTGTTGATTTCTCAAATACAAAAAAAGTAATAGATGACGCACCCTGTACTTCATGGGCAGGACAGTCTTGCTATTCAACCAATTTTCTTTCTATCACATCTCAGAGCTATACTCTGCAGACTATCTCGCATTCTGCGAAGCATGCTGGCAATTTTACTTCAATTATGATTATGTTTACCACGTCATGTAATTATCTGTTCTAACAGAATAGTCGGAACTAGTTGTGAACTGCTTGTGGGGACAAACCTATTGTATCGGGTACGTAAAATCCTATTTTGTAATTTACTAATAAAAGTAGTTATGCAATATAAAGGATATCACTCTATTCTTTCACAAAGTGTAAATATAATCACCATATAACTTTATTAATATATAGATTGAATAAAAATTAAATCAAAATCAAATATAAGTAAACGTCATGCGCTGTCGCTTGCGAAATTTGCATGTATGCAGGGTATTATGAAAGTAGGGACTTTCCCTTTCAGAAACAACTAGGTTTGAAATCGAAGAAAAATGCTAACTATTGATTTTATCAGAAAATACTGCCCTATCACATGTTTTGCAAGATGCAAAGAAATCCATCAGCCGGGAACGGAAACATCCGAGTAAAGAATTTAAATACACTAGCTAAGTATCAATAGCATCCTTATGGACGCCATAAACTAACACCAAATCAATAACTTCGTACTTGCTATAGGAAATGTGCCAATGTCAGTCTTTTCAAATCCGATTAGTAAATGATCACGTAGGTTAACCTGCTTACGATACAGCGCATAATTAGGACACTGACGCACGAGGTGCATTTCTACCTTTCCACATTGGTTGCAGGGCCGGGCTGGCGCATTCGGACTTTTTCGAAATTTAATACCTCAATTAACTCAAGGCTTTGGTGTTACCAGGCGAATATGTTTATTGTTGCATGTAATGCAGATTTTATCCAGCCACGGTTCAAAATAGTAACAACCGTATGAGTCACGACCATAGAATCAATGATACCGTGGTCGTGACCATTATTCGTGGTAGTTGAATATGACGTTAAACTAAAAAGTTAACCATTGCGCCAGAAATGTATTTCAAGTTCCCATGTCCACATCTCTAACTATCTCGCTCGGATACGGGCATGTGTATACATGCGCAGAACTCTAAGCTCACTAAATTTCCGAGAGCTACGCCCTCCTTAGCGACACTACTTGCTTCATATGGATGCGTATCTTCCTTTATGTACTTTAACCTGCGATATCTATTCTTCATGACGTTAATCAGTGGTTATACATACGATAGCAGATATAGGAAACCGAAATACCTGTTAGTTATTACTGGATAGAATTCATAAAAAAAAATTGCGGATGAGATATGGCAACCACGGCGCGAGGTACAAGCGCTATAAGGCCGAGATGCCGGAATATCGACCTGCTGCGGATACTCGAACTAGAATAGAAGAAAAGCGAAAACGGAAGCCTAAAGAGATTTTAAAGCCCACTCATAAACGGTTACCACTCAATTTAATATTCCGAACTACTACTATTAAAAAAACCATATTGTGTATTGATATGGTATTTAAAAAAGTTGACTAAAAACCCGAGGCGAGAGAAAGTACGAATTAAAATAGATCTTATTCATGCTGAAAAACATACAGTATAGACAAAAGTATATAGACAAATTAATATTGTGCTGTATTTCTTTTTTATCTTGTTTTACTAATACACCAATATGTATACATAATTCGTTATAGCATAATACTCACTTATACATAAATACATTCATTATTCTCCCTTTAATAAAAAAATAATTGAAAAAAACTGGAACTATGGACAAAAATATATAGACAAGGCAAAAAACCATTATAGAAAAAAGAAGCAAAGTTCATTGAATTATAGAAAACCAACCATGTTTGTGTTAATATTTTGTAGCATAACCATTATTATCAATCACCGCCTGGCATCGTCTCGGCATAGATTATAGAAGTTTCTTGATATAAGATTCATCAATCTGTCTCCACTTTTGCTCTAAAGCAGCAAAAAGTTCATCCTGGTTAGAATAATTTTTATCTCGTATTTGCTTATCTAAGTATTCCCATAGATCTTCAATGGGGTTTATATCGGGAGACTGTGAAGGCCATTTGAGAACTGGAACTTTTCATCCAGAAAGAATTTCTTTGCGAGATTTGGAGTGTGCTTCGGGTCATTATCTTGCTGGAAGATTGATATTAAGGGCCTATTGTCTTCCATATAGGGTAACATGACATGCTTTAGTATGTCTGTGTATACAAACTTATCCATAATGTCGTCTATTCTATATAGAGGTCCCATCCCAAACCCCGAAAAGCACCCCCAAACCATAAGAGACCCGCCGCCATGTTTGACAGTGGGCAAAGTGTACTTGGGGTTCAATCTTTGTCCACTAGGACGTCTAACCTAATGAACACCATCTGATCCAAACATATTGAACTTGAAATCGGTCCTTATGGTTTTTCCTCGAGATTAGCGGCGTCTTACTCGGGCGACGAGCAAAGAACTTCAAATCGTTTAATCTTCTACTTATAGTTTTCGTAGAAACACTGACAATTTCTTTTGTCTCGATTTCGGCTTTTATTTGTCTTGGGGTTTTAAACGGATCTTTGGACGAATTAGTTTTTACTGCTTTAGGCTTCAGCTTCAAATTTTTGGCAATGTCGACTTGACGTTGACCATCTTTGTATAACTCAATGATTTTAGTTTTCACATTGAAAGAAATTTCTGGAGCACGCGGCATGGTCTTAAAATCACTCAACTTATTCCACAATACTTGATGAAAACAAACTAATCCTCTTCTGACACGAAACTGTACTAATGTTGAAAAGGATTCTTCTACATATTTTTGTCCCTTATAAAAAAGTGCTTATATTCAGACTTGTATTGTGTTCATTGTAGATAATGTAAAAACAAGGAATTTAGTTTTTCTACTAATGCAGTTGTTAATGGAGCAATGAAGTATGATTTCTTTTTCTAAAGGTATTTAGGCAAATATTCATATTTGTCTATATACTTTTGTACATTACTGTATATGTAGTTAGAACAGATTTTGCTACGGTTTCTACTGTTTTCAGAATTTTGCGACTCAGTACGCACGCATTATACGAATATATAATAAAAAATTATACACAGATTTGGATAAATCATTGAAGAAATCATCTTGTAGATCGACGGTAATGGGTGGCTTGGATTTTCATAATTATAAAACTCAACAAAACCAAACTAAACAATATCTTTACCTCAGCGGTTCTCACGTGAGAACTCATTTTTAAAAAGGAAGTTTGATTATTTCTCCAGAATATCAGAACGTAAAAAATAGGAGATCAATGAGGGCAGTTGTTTTCAACAATACCAAAAAATGTATATTTAATGAACTGAATCGTTAATTTTTGAGTCAATTTAGATTTAGCATAAGACAGTGAAAACTAATCTAGTAACCTGCTTATGCATATGTTTGTTGAAAATAATGTAACTGTGCATCCCAACTAGTAACACACATAGTAATTCGTAAGCATGGGTTGCAAATAAGGGATAATTTTTATAGCACATGCAATGCAGAACATAACATCAAAATTATGTTCGATTTGAAAGCAAGTGCAAACATCTACTTTTTCAATTTCAATTTTGACAAAAGATAAACTGAATTTTCCCTCAACAAAACCCATTATTTAAATCACCTTTATTTCAAAGTTATGGAACACAGAGATTATGATGGAAAATCGCAATGATAAGCTTCATAATGATAGAGTTTGAAGCCAATCTTATTCATCATTTTATCATACCCTTTTATCATTAGTGAATACTGGAGAACTTGAAAAAAATGGATACTTATTAGAGATATTTTTCACTGTTGTTCACCATATAAAATGATATATTGTTTTTTAGTAAAAAAAAGAGTAATGCTATTCGCAGTCCATCAAAACAGAATTTTTTTACAAGAATTATTTTGTTTCTTATTAGAAAAGTAT